GATTGATCAAAAACACGTATCCGCCCCAAGAAGACACCTTAACCGAAAGGAATTAACAAACATGTTGCATGCGGCTACTTCATTTCATCGCAGGTAATATCGGTTTCGTTTTTAGTTGATGAATGTCTCTCGACGCAATGGAAGACTGACGAGGATCTTAATACTAAGAAAAGTGATGCATCTGCGAGCCAAATGGAATAAAATTAAACCAGGCATTTAAATTTCTTAAACTATATAAAAGTTTTAGAAACGATTTCCTTACAGTATAAATCTTTGAAACTGACGTTTGAACGGGTCACATATTACGATTATCATCGGAGATGCTCAGTCAGTAGAGCATCGGACTCAGAACCGAGAGATTCCAAGTTCGAGACCCGGTTGGGTCACTCACAGAGGTTCATACATGAGTACCATTCTGTGGACGAGGCAGGCTACTACACTCTACGATGGCCAGACAGCTGCTGTCGACTCTGCTTTTAAAACGAGCCACTCATGACTAATGACATGAAAATGAAGGTCAGTGTTCAAACATTAATTTCGGGACAAGAAAAGTGCCACTAATGGCCTCTTATTGGAAGACAGACATTACAAATTTTCATTTTCCTTCCTTCTTACTGTGCTGAGAAAGCGAGCCACCAGGCTGGAATGTAAAAATTGCAGCTGAAAAGAAGCGGGCACATCAGACAGCGTAGCATTAAGCACCATTATTTGCGTCCTAACCAGATTAAAACACTTGGCATCGCAGCTGTTTGCAATCCATTAACTTTTAGCTGGTCGCACAGAAACGCAGAAAGATGACAATCTGGGAAGGAAATTATCAGCTAATAAGAGATTAACCTTGTGCTGGATTTGGACGGTCACGTTTGGTATGCAGGGCGCTACTACTCCAATGCCAATAAGAATCCAATTTTTATTCAATCAAAACAGTAAGACACATCAGTCACTAGAGCATCGCCGTCTCGCGTTGCTCTGGAGCGTACCCGTGTAAGGGCAAAATACATGTGAAATATTCGTCTGAGGTGAGCAGTCGTCCACAGTAGTCACGTTCCGTCGCGATCTCGTGCGCAGAGCACGCTTGATCGGTACACGTTAATTTGGTGCACCTAATCATTCTTTGACTTGTGTATCTTACTGCACATTTTCTTTTTTTCTCATTCCTTCTGGCTTTCATATTTTACATCATAACTACTCAAAGTACAGTTGCTATGCTTTGTCCAAAGAACTGAAATGTTCGTGTTTTCTAAGAGACATTCAACAAATCGAGCTAAATTAAATTCTAAGCCAAACAGAGATCATGTAGCACGAAACGAAACTCGACCAAACTATAATTATTGCATGAATCCAGGATTTCATGCTACGATGAAGCAAAGATAGACAGATACCATCCAAAGTAAAGCGAAGTTGCATGAAATTATTTCGTATCAATCTTAGACGTTCAATGATTTTCGTCTGAAGACTCCTTTAAAACAAAATTAGATACATAGTTAGTAATCGATACTGAAGTATCTGCAGAATTAGCAATATGATTTGGAAGCTGAATACGAAAATGAATTTAAATTGGAATGATACAACAGCGTGTCATGGCTCAGTTCTTTCTTTGGAAGAACTGGAATAACTGAAAAGTCTGAAAGGGTTAAATGTGCAACCCTCAAAGAAATGAACAGAATGCAAAAAGATAACAATTAATGATTGTTTTATGAAGAAACCAGTCCGTTGAGACTTTATTAGCTTATTTTCTTCAATGATACAGCGCCTACACTTAGTTCTTGTATTAATGCAACCTATTAGACTTGTATTACTTGAGACTGGTCTGTATTTTTCGCCTAGAAGCATTGAGATATTTTTTGTTTTTTTAGCACAGTATTACTACTGAAAGTCGCACTGTTTCCAACGAAAATTTCATGCAGAGCACTGATATTACATAAAAATAAAGTCAGGAACATGTAAAAAGAATTTAAATAGTAATCAGCGGAAAACTACGGCATAATGAAAAAACAGCGCCGCTCTAAACTCAAAAATTTGTCTGCGGCAAGTATCCTCTCCTGAATAATATCGGGTAATAATACAAAAACGTACTTCCTGCAAAACGCGAAAAAGAATATATTAATAAAAAACAGGAGGAAAATAAGTCATACGTATCTTAAAGCGAATATATCAGATTACTTTCACCTTCTTCGCTGTAAGAAGATCCCTTATAACGAACTCCCACTAAACAGCTCCAAAACAACATTCCTTCAATTTCTTAAATACAGACAAACAATTAGAAGCTAAACTTCTTTAGGGAACAGGAATCTCATGCGTTTCGAGTCATTTAATTATTTTTGAGCCAAATGTATAGCTAGTGTCGTACCATATAAAAGTAGGCCAATGCACAGGACGACGACCAGGAAATGCTACCGGTTTTCACGGCCTTGATCCAAAAATAATATGTCAGAAGCATACAGAATATTGCAATGCCTTCGTTATCGTACGAACCGGCGACTGAACGTGAAATGTAGCCCGGTACAATGGCTATCATGGTGGCGGCAATCAGACCAGCACCTTCGCTCTGAAAGGAAGTTTGCAACGAAACAATCACCACGACCTTCAGCTAACAATCCAATGGCACAACAATGTACCGTCAGTTCCTTTGTGAAAAAATAGGTGACAATCGTTGTCAAGCTACTGAACAAAGGAGCCAGAAACACACATATTTCTCGAATATGAATCGTGACGTGGAAGAAATTGAAAATATGATTCAGCACAGCGGAAGTGATCATCAATCCTAAAGCAGTAAGCGCACCGAGTTTAGTTACATGAACCGGCAATGAAGAGCATTCCGCAAACAGTCCAGTTACAGGAAAGTGTAATTAGAACGACTCACACCTTAAGTGAAACTACGCACCAAAACACAACTTTAAAGATTCCAAAACCTGAGAAAAAGTATTAGAATCAGCATTGTCCTATCACTGCTGAGCAACTTGA